CTGGAAGGCATATTGATGAGTTGGCAAGATATTGGTGTTGCGCTGATGAGCGCTGGACTCAGGGAAACTTTGAAACACTTTGTATTCATATTTTTGATAATATAAGCTGTGAAACTCGGTTCTCATCTTCTCTACCTTTGTCTATTATCAGACTACTGTTCGTTGTGTGTGGGAGAATGATGCATGGCATGTACACACTTGCGTGAGATGGTCTCCAGGACCCATGCATATAAAATTATATTATATATATTACAGATATTATATATTATGTATATTACAGATATTATATATTGACGATATATATATATTGTCACATTGTGAATATATATATACATATATATCGGCAAGGACCATGGTCTCTCGGTTGATCGAGCCATGGTCGGTGCCTCAAGGATGACGTGGCGTGCGATGGACCATAAGGCACCATCACCAAGACGCACATGATCGAACGTTACACACAGACACAAATCCGCGACGCATGTATCTGGACAGAATAAGGGGAAAAGGGTTTTCCTGATTATTCCCCGCTTCTTCTCATCTTCTTGATTCTGGGCCTCTGGTCTTCAAACAAAGCACAAGACAATAAATAGAATGACGGCGGCCGTCATCATCGATCATCATCATAATTCCCCACGAAGCACGGCAACCAGACCATGATCATGAACGAAACATCATCAGCATCAGCATCATCGTCCTCACCATTATGAAAATCATGTCTAGGCTTCAGGTGCAGACCAATCAAACTCATATCCCCCCTCCCCCTCCTCCTGCTGCTGCTCATCATCAACATCACCAATCATCGATCATGATTAATCAGCTCCATCATTAAGCACCATCATCAAGCATCATCACCATGATGAAAATGACGTCAGGCATTTAGTTGAGAACCCCTCCTCTTGCTTCTCATCAAATATCATCAATCATCAATCACCATCATAATCATCGACGCCTGGCCTTCAGGTAAACCAATCAAGTCATGTCCCTCCTCCCCCTACTCATCATCATCATCATCATCATCATCATCATCAATATGATAATCAATCATCATCATCATCATCATCATCATCAATCATAGTCATCAGTCTCTGCCCACAGCAGAGCAACCCAATTATTACCATCAACAACATCGTCATGACAATCTCGTATAGCCATCAAGCGACGCCATTAATCCTCCTCCTCCTCATCTCACCATCATCGAAACGACCCTCATTATTACATACAATACCCATCTCATCACCACCACCACCACCATCATCACCACATCATCATCATCATCATCATCATCATCATCGTCACCGTCATGATCATCATCATCATTCCTTCTTTCTCGGTTTTATAATCATTTGCGCATTTTCTCCCCCTCAGTCTTCCTTGCCTGCTGTCTTCGTTCCTCTTCCCGCTCATCTCTCCTCTTCTGCTTCCCTCCCCGCTCTTCTCCCCCTTAGCTCTCCCGTCTTCCCTTCCCGCCCTTTTCATCTCTCCCGTCTTCCTTCCCGCCCTTTTCATCTAACCCGTCTTCCCTTCCCGCCCTTTTCATCTATCCCGACTCCCCTTCCCGCCGTTTTCAGCTCTCCCGTTTTCCCTTCCCGCCCTTTTCACCTCGCCCGTCTTCTCTCCCCGCCATTTTTCCCCCATTCGCCCTCCTTCGTTCCATCCCCGCCCTGCCTACCATTAACTGATAGTTTTCTTTATCCTCTACAGCCCATATCTACCGTCTTCCCCGAACACAACGCACCCTCATCATGAATGTATACAAGCAAACTTTCCGGTCCGGTGCAGTCATAATGAGGGTGCGCTGTGTTCGGGGGAAGAAGGTAGTACACACCTAGATAACCTCATTCGCACTCGACGATCAGGCGATCCATGAAATCAATCAATCAATCTATCAACGGGCTGCAAATGCAAGTCCCTCCCTCGCCACTCAAATTTTTTTTCGCGATAATGAAACTCATCAGACTCCCTTGTTTTTTCTTGTCGTTGTTTCTCGTTTTTTTTTTTTTTTCTTGTTTTTCAAAAAGCTGATACTCCCTTGTGGAATCCAAGAGCTCAACCCATTCTTCTCCTCCCTTCTATACCAACGAGATCCTCGACTCGAACGTACCGAAAAAGTGTGTTGCACACCGACAAGTGCTGTGTGGCACTTAAGCGCCGCGTACCCACTACTCTCATTCTACTCCTATCCACTCACGACGCCTCTCTCTCTCTCTCTCTCTCTCTCTCTCTCTCTCTCTCTCTCTCTCTCTCTCTCTCTCTCTCTCTCTCTCTCTCTCTCTGTGTGTCTGTGTGTGTGCACATTTATCTGAGGTACACGCGGGTCCTCAGTCACAGAAAGAGATGCAGTTAATAACGATATAAAGAGCCGCACAAACAACCAAAAAAAAAAGAACGAAAAAAAAAAAAGGAAAAAGAGTCGCGGAAACAAAAAAAAGGCGTAGATAAAGACAAAACAAAAGGGTTTCACTGTGTTCTTTCTTTTCATTTTTCACAGGCGAGAGCTCAATCGTTGCTGACGGGATCCCGTTCCGTCGTGGTCGCGGCTGGAGCGCGCGGCCATCTTGCCCCTCACCTTTTCTCTCCTCCTTTCGTCGTCATCGAAATGTGCAGCGGCGGCCTGCTGCCCTCGCCTTCCTTCCCTCTCCTCGACGGGTAGTTCTAATTCATCCGATGGTGATGGGAAGGGCGCGAAGTACCGATCTACCATCTCTTCCGTGACCTCGGCCAGCGTCGGTGGTTTCCATTTGGGGCTGTTGTCCTTATCCACCAGCACGGCTCTCACTCCCTCATAGAAATCCCCTCCCTCCTTCACACACCTCACCGTCAGACGGTATTCTTTCCGCAAGCACTCGTGCAACCGACACGTGGCCGCTTCCCGTATCGACCGCAGCGTTATCTTCAGGCTAGTAGGAGAGGCCTTCTCCATGGCCTGCAATGCCCTTCGACACCACTCAGCATCCGATGATGACTGGGGCAATGATGATGACGATGACGTGGAAGCACCAGCACCAGCAGCAGCAGCAGGAGGAGGAGGAGGAGGAGCAGGAGCAGCTCCGGGGTAAATCCCTCCTCCTCCTCCTCCTGCTGCTGCTGCTGCTGCTGCTGATGCTGATGCTGCTGATGCGTGTGCTTCCAGAGCGGCCATGACCTCCTCGACGCTGTCCTTGGAGAAACACTCGTCGATGATCCGCTTGCGGCGGACGATCGGGGCTTCGCTGACGTGGACCTTGTCGGACGCCTCCGAGATCGCGATCTCGACAATGTCGAGGCTCGACGAGTACAGTCCCGACAGCCTCTCCCTCAGCAATTCCAGCCGATGGGATGGCACGTAATGCGTGGCTAGTCCCGTCGCCACCATGTCCGCCCAGTTGATTCGAGCCCCAGTCAAGCCCAGATAGGTCCCGATCTGGCCCGGAAGACGCGAGAGGAAGTAAGACGCCCCCACGTCGGGATGCAGACCGATCCCGACCTCCGGCATGGCGAAGACGACGTTCTCCGTCACGACCCGGAAATGACCATGCATGCTCACCCCAGCCCCACCACCCATCACTATTCCATTTAGGATCGCCACGTGCGGCTTCTTCAACGTGGACAGATGGTAGTTCATCTTGTACTCCTCCTCGAAGTATCGTCGGTACGCCATCGCGGACGCTGCTGCTGCTGCCACGTCATCCCTTCCTCCTCCTCCTCCTCCTCCTCCTCCTCTTCGGTTCTTGAGCCCTATATCGTATACAGCCCTCACGTCGCCGCCGGCACAAAAGGCGCGCCCTTCCCCCCTGATAGCAATTATCTTCACGTGCGGCTTTACCTCCCACACGGACCACAGTTTGTGCAGACGACGAATCATGTCCAAGCTTAGGGAATTAAGCACACGTGGCCGGCTGAGGACCGCTGTGCGCAAGGACATGTCCTCTTCTACCAAAACATTGTCATCTGCTGCCCCACTTAGCGCCGACCGCACTGCAGCCGCCGCCGTCCTCGACTGCGCGCCAGACGGCGATGGCGACACCGAGGATGCCAAGGAGGAAGAAGACGAGTACGACCGACTACTGCCTCCCGTCTTGTTCTCGCTTAATCCAACGTTAGAACGCAAGTTGCGCTCTGGATACTGGAACTGGCCCCGCTGCGGTTGTTGCTGCTGCTGCAGGCCGACCTGGCTTATCCCTCGCACAGGAACAAGTACTCCGCCTCCGCCTCCTCCTCCTCCTCCTCCCGCCCCTTCTCCTCGTAATCTTGCTCCCACCCCGTGGACGCATCCGGCCTCAGCATCCGGATGGTCATGATGCCAGTGTTTGCACGCATCAGGGGGGTCTCCCCCCAGGGAACATCGCCGACTGTAGTAGAAACCTAGCCGCGACGACGAGGCTCCGGAATGAACATGGCCGCGCGCGCGCGCGCGCGCGGCCTGTGCGACCTGGGCTACCTGGGCGACTCGGCAAGCAGCCACGTGCGACCTCGAGGATGGCGACGGCATCGATGATGATCGGGAGGCGTTGCCGGCAGCTTGGCAAAGCTGCCGCAGGGCTTGCATTTTGTCCCCCCCCCCGCCCCTTCCCGGCAATCAGGACGAGAAAAACGCGCAACCCCTTCCCTCTCCCACCGAGACGAAGGTGAAAGACGTGCCGTCGCCTTCGTCCTCCTCCTCAGCTATGGCTTCCTCCTCCGCATCATCGACGTGTTTCTCCTATACCTCGCCCTTTCCTGCAACAGCTTCAACGACGCGGTGGCAGCAAATTGCTCTTCCTCCTCCACCGGCAATCCACCCACCACACCACTATCTTCTCCTCGGCTGGACGGGAAATGGGCCGGGGGGTGGAATGGGTAAAAGGGAAAAGGGAACAAAGTCACAATCTTTAATTGTCCAATTGTAATTCGCTGAAAATGAAGGGCCGCTACACTGTAGGAACCGACACGAAGCGACACTCCAATGCCTTCCGCTAAAAAAACGCTGCTGCTGCTGTTGCTGCTGTTGCTGCTGCTGCTGCTGCTGCTGCTGTTGACTGCCTTGTCTCACGAAACACTGTGCAAGATGGCGTGGACGCAGTACGTGTCCACCACACACGATGCAAGATGATGTGGAGACATGAGGTATCCGGAAAACACAATGCAAGCTGATGTGGAAAACACAATGCAAGCTGATGTGGAAAGACAGCGTAATTGTTCAACTATGACTCGATTTATGCGTGTAATCCTTGTGCAGGGGCCATGCTAAATCGTCTCTGCATCGTTCCAATTTTAACCGATGAAGGTTTCCACAACACATGGCGCAGGGTGATGTGGAAACAAGAATTATCCACAACACACGAGTGCAGGATGACGTGGAAGTACGAGTTATTAACGACATACGCAGTGAAAGGTGACGTGGAGGCACGGCTACTCAGGACGTACCCGCGTGTTCATTCCCCCTCAGTGAGTCGCGAGACCAATGGCCTGGGAATGCCCAGACGGTTGCCTCATCGCAGTCTCGAGAGACCAACAAAAGTAACTCAAGGTAGACTCACACTCGGACTTTGACATTGATCTCTGGACGTAATTGCCGTCAGGTACACATCCCGGGGCCGGAAATGCAGTCAGATACGTCCTGGAAAGTCCTAATGTCAGTGCGTCCGTCCTCTTTGGCACTGGAAGAAATGCCGCAAGTATACATACATTGATTGTTACTCGTCTCCGCGAAGTTGCAGCATTGAATTCCCCGGGAAAATTACCCTTTGCCTCTATATGCAAGGCGAAGTTACCTCTCCCTTCTTATATATCCCGGGCAAAATTACCCCTCCCTGCCTCAATATGGCATGCCCAAATTCTGACCAGCAGACCAGCCGGCTACCCCCACGCAACCTGTCTGACGAGGTTTTTTTTAAAAAAAAAAAGAAAAAAAAAGAAAGCCATTCTTTACCCAGTCGAGGCCGGGGACCTCACAATTCCACCCGGAGTTATCCTGGCAGCACTAGCCAGTTTCGCTTATATTCAGAGCTTGCGACCCTGCCAATCCTACTGTTCACAACTTCCCCAGGCTAGACTAAACGCATCACCTTGCCTTTCCTAAGGTTTTCCATCACAGAGATTCAACCAACTCCCTTATTAGCTTTAACAATCTATACCTTCAACCAAAATACCATTCCATTGCCTCAGTTACCGGCTTATTCACCCAACTACAAGACACAGTAATTCTAATCCTTCATTACCTATGGGACAGAGGCCTACCCAGCCCCTGAAAAAAAACAGCCTAACCCGGCTGGTTGGAACCTAGGTTCCGAGTGACAGTGGTACTCTACCACCCTCCTCCCCTATGTGACCTCCTGTGGCCGGCACCACGAACCGAGTACCCTGGTTCGTAACACTACAACAGCTAACTTCCCTCCCGAATCCATCTTGAGAGTACCAAGCCTCTCTCCTTATGCACTGCCGCCAACTGGTTGCCCTTGGCCCACGTTCTCAGGAACCAGTACAATTGCTCCTTGGTACCCTTCCCTTCCCTTGCTTTACTTCTCCAATCCACCCTGATAGCCTGCTTTAGGCCCCTCCTTACCATTCTTTTAATTTCTGTGTTGGCCAGCATTCTATTATGGAATCTAGCCCTGTTCCGCTCAGTCCAGATGATCTCACAGATCAGGCCACGCACTGCATGGGCAATATAACCCCAACCCTTTGTGCCCTGGACCTCTTCAGGTAGGAAGCCCAGTAAGACCCAGGCTTCATCCCATTTCACTCCTTTCCCCCCCATTTGGTCCCAATGTGTCTGCCACCACTTCCACACCCGTTTTGAGGCTGGGCATTCCCACCACAGATGGCGGGTCGATTCGTACGGCCAATTACACCGCACACACCTGAGCTTTGTTTCCATCCCTCTGCTCACTAGCCACACCGCAGACGGGGTTACCATCAGTGACAACATCCACAGGATACTCGTTTGTTTCCCATTTGGCAGCAGCTTGAGGATTTTCCAGACTCTCTCAAATTGGCTACCCGCCTTGGAGAGATCCTCCGACATTACTGCCTGCCATCGATTCACTGCAATTTCTGCAGGCTTCCTCTTCCCAATGCTTCTCAGGTCATAGTCCTGTTTCACTGTGAGTTCGCCCAGCGTCCAGCTCCTCCTGTCCCGCTCGTCCCCTGCCCTCCAGCTCCAGGCTTGAGGGTCGATGCAGAGTTCATTCAGAGGGCGGCCACCCATCCATGTGAGGACCTTGACTGAACGCTGCTTTGTTTGTATTTCCATGGCCCGGATCTGCTTCTGACCATGCCAGTTCATTATGGTTGACTCGTCCACCTTCTGCAACTGTTTCGTGTATGTGTTGCACCTCCATCTTTCAACTTTACGGAAGCCACTGGGTAGTATTTCCACCATTTTCCATACCACCCCCTCCTCCTGTTCTTCCGTGGATATGTACCAGGTACCTGGCGGATCCACCCCCCCTGGGCCTAGAATATACTTCCATTCTATCGGGATTGCATCCACCAATTTCTTCCTGTTCTCCTCCACCCGTCTCAGACCGCTCAGTTTCTCTCTAAAGTCTACTTCCGCTTTCCATGTCCCCGTTAAGGAGCACCAGGGATCCCCAATTCGAACAACCCCCCGTTTCATCCATGCTTGGCCAAAGGATGCTGTTGAGGCGTCTGCTGGGAACATCAAGCCATCTTCATTACAGATGCGTTTGTTCTCAAACAGGTGTTGCAGCAACACTTCCTCTTTCGTTTTTGGCTCTGTCTGCACGTCTGGGGGCTGTTTTCTCCAGGCTTTCCTTATTGGTTCCCAAAATGGAGACGTCAATTTCTTTCTCATATATGACTCCATAAAGAAGCACGTCCATACATCTTCCGACCTGCTTAAGTCTCATTCCCTCATCAGGATCCGTTCCGCCATTTCCACCCAATGTTCCTTATGTGGTGCCGAAGCAATCCTGCAGATCCATGCTCTCAACTGGGCCTGATTCCGTCTTGCTGGGTCCACCATTCCCAGGCCACCTTGTTCCCTTGCAAAGGTCAGCGTGTCCCATGCAACTTTAATCAATCAGCCTTCCCCTTTCTTGGCCTGTGGTTTCCACAAAAACCGTGCCACGAGGCGTTTGACAGCAACCAGCATTGTTGGCGGTAGCTCTCTTATTGTGGACACAAACCACAGAATAGAAAGGAGGGTCGCGTTTGCCACCAGAGCCCTCCCTATTAGCGACAGGTGTCATGTTATGCCCCACATGTGCAATCGAGCCGCAATTCTCTGCTGGAGCACCACTCCCTGGGTGGTTGAGCGGACTTGTAAGCTGATGAGCACCCCCAGGAACCTCTCCTTCTCCCCCTCCTCAACCCTAGCCATCCCCCACTCCGCCTTGAGTTGGAAGCACGACGGAAGGAAATATGATGACTTTCCCCAGTTAATAGAGGCCTCCGATAGCCTTGAATGTTCTCGCATTACGTCTCTTAGTGTTGTTAGCGCCGGAGCAGAGTTTTCGCAGATCATGAAGAGGTCATCTGCAAGCGCCTTTACTCTGCATTCCAGACCGCTAGCTAGCCTGAGTCCTCTTATCTGTGGGTGACTTCGTACTCGGTTCAGAAGCACTTCCATTTGCAGGACAAATAAAAGAGGTGTCAGCGACCGCGTGATATGGAATGCCTCTGACATGTGACCGTTAATCATCACTGCTGATGTTGCTTCCGTATACATCGCTTTCACCCACTTGCATGTGTTCTCACCGAACCCCATGTGCCTGAGCGAGGTAAGAACGAAAGGCCAACCCACTTTGTCGTAGGCCTTCTCGAGGTCTAGGAGCAGCACCCCCATGTCCAAGTTCTCCTCTTGCACGATCTCCAATACCTCAACCGCCGTGATAATATTATTGAAGATTGATCTCCCCTGCACAAATGCTCCCTGATCTTCTTCCACCAGGTCCGGTAAGTACCTCGCTAGTCTTCTTGCCAGCGACTTCGCTAATATTTTGTAGGACACGTTGAGAAGGGAGATTGGCCGCCAGTTCTTTATCACGCTTTTGTCGCCGCTCTTAAATAACATAGCAATTACCCCGTGTGTCATCCTCTTCCCCAGTTTCCCGCCTGTTAGGACTCCATTATACACGTCAACCAGTGCTTGGCCGAAACAGGACCAGTTCTTCTGATAGAATTCCACTGTTAACCCATCCACGCCTGGTGATTTACCCTTTGCCATCGAGCCGACTGTTTGAGTAACTTCCTCCAATGTGAGAGGTCTCTCCATGTCCAACCTCCCAGTATTAAAGATTTTGACCCTTGTGTAGTTCCATAAGTCTGATTCTTCAGTCAAATCCGAATCAGCGGAAATTTGCGGTTGCCTTGGGGAAAGTATGTCTTCGTAATAGAGGTTTGCATACTTCAGCATTCCTTGCGCAGTAACTGCTCTTGGTTCTGTTTCTATGAACGGATGCTGAAGTTCCGTCATTTGCTGCTGTGCTCTCCGAGGTAGCAATCTTTGGAATGTCTCCTTGTTCATTTTGTCGTTCGTCTCAATCCCTTTCTCTCGCAGGATCTCCACCCTCCATGCTTGGTCTTCCATCTGAACCTTGTCCCATTCGTCCATTTTTCTCACTCTTTCAGCTGCCCAAACTCTTGCAGAGATCGGGTGCCCGTCCATCCTCTCCTCTGCTTCCTCAACCCTCCTTTTGCACTCTGCCTCCCTCTGGTTTCTCTTCTTGGCCAGGATCTTGGAGCACACTTCTAGGACACTGGATATTATTGTTGTTCCCCCATCAAACCATTCCGCTGTTGAATCGAACAAGTTCTTTGCTGTCTCCCATTTCTCCATATGGTTGGCCACCCATTCCATCAACCCTGCGTCTGCTAAGTTCTGGTTATTCAGCCTGAAGAAGCCTCTCCCCCGTGCGACGCCCCATTGCAGGTTTATCTCCGCGGTGACTGGCTTATGGTATGAGAGGGGATGGCTCACAGGTGTGACCTTCGTTACACCCTCCAACACCTGTTCACTCACTAAGAAGTAGTCAAGCCTACGTCTTGTGACCAGGTTGCTTTCCTTCTTCATATGTGAGGTCCATGTGTAGCCTGCCGCTTCCGGCATCAAAGAACGGAATGGGTCTACAAGGTTCAATTCATCTATCATTGTCAGCAGCGCCTGCGTGTCTTCTCTGTTTGTTGTGGACGAGGCATGGCCCAGGGCAGTGTCCAGGGACAGGTTCCAATCGCCCGCCATGATGAGTTTCTCCACTTTAGGAATGCGGGGGATCAGGTTTTGGAAAAACCTCGCCCGCTCCTTGGGATTTGTTGGGGCATACACCGACATTATCGCGCACTCCATCCGTCCCTCTTCCAATCTCACCCATGCCCACCTACCCCAGATGTCCGCCTCTGAGTCCAAAATCTTTACTGAGAGGTCTCTGTGGATCAATATCCCAACCCCACCGCGGGTCCCCTGCGCTGGAGCCCACACTTGGGGCCCGTCCCACCACTTTTCAAGCTCCACCAACTTTTCTTCTGACAGTTTTGTTTCCTGTAGTAACAAGACATTTACCCTTTGATCGTGCACCCACGATGTTATCCTCCCCCGCTTGCCCCTGTCCATGGTGTCTTCCATACCCCTCACATTCCAAGTAGCAATCTTTAGCTTACGCATTACGTTGATTAACCACCGCTTGTGTTTGGATGCGGGATGCTGATTCCATCTGGTCCTGGATTCTATTCCCTTCCTCTACCTCCTCGTCCATCCTATTCGTGCTTCCTGTCCTGCTCCTCGAACTGCCTCTGGACGAGTTTGCTTCCGACTGTGACCTCCACTCTTTTGTTAGCATTCTAACCATGTACCCCGAACTCAGTTCCTCCCCTTTCGGTAGCTTCTCCTGCACTCTGAGCAGCGCCCTTGCAGAGATTCCTGGTATGATAGTCACACTGTCCAACTCATGCAAATTGCATTCTTGTATCCCGTCTGTTTTCAGCCACCGAACCACTGCCTGTACCAATGTACCCACGACTTCAGGAGGGATTCGCGCATCCAGGATGGGGAAATACAGTTTATGTACCCCCTGTTCGTTATGCACAATGATACTTATCATTGTTGAGCTTGGCACAATTCGAGTAGGGACATTGCCCCCATACAGTTCTCTCGTCTTTTGCATTATCAACAGAGGGGTGGGACAGCGATCCACTTCCACTGAAGGGAGGTAGGATCTACCCTCTGGGTCTGCTAAGGCCAGAAAGGAAATCCCATCCCCTGTCGCTGTGCATAACAATGGCACTATTCTTCGTTTCGCCACCTGAATCTGGCTTGCCTGTATGGTATCGGCTCTCATGTCTTTGGCCTGGCTCCGGTCTTGGCTTCGGTCCTTACTACCCCTTTGCAGACCATCTCCTTTTCCTCTTGAGTTGGCCGAACTCTCCATTGTGCCCTCACTTCACCCCGACCTCTTTGATTGGTGACCGTAGAATTCAGCTTCTACTTCACTGTCTAGCCTCACCCTTGATAAGGAAGACACATCAGAGCGTGAGAGATCTTTCCAGGACAAGTATTGTTTCTCCAAGCCCTTCTCCTCTTCTATTGTCTCACACCAGCGCTCTGATCTTCCTACCTCCTGACTCCCCCTCCTCTGTGGTGATACACGCCTCCCTCCGTACCTTCTCTGCTCGCTTTGTTCATATTGCCAGTGACCTGCCTCCCTCCATGTGTTCTGTGGATCGTTAGCTTCTACACCTGCACCGCCTGTCCTCCTCTGGCCCTGTGTGAGATCTTCATTCAAACCTGAGCCTTGCATATCCGCCCAGCTTGCCCTCCCTCTTGTGGTGCAGGCCCGCCTTTGCAGAAAGCTTGGTTCCCACTCCGATCCATTCACCAGTTCCCCCAGATAGTGAGGCCTGGGGTAGTTCAGTGGTGGATACTGTTGTCCATACCTGCCAACACACATGTGCCTATTTCCTCCGTAAGCCTCCCCTTCTCCTTGCACGAGAGGAATACCTTGGTAGTTCCATTGTTCCATCTGTTGGATTCACACGAATTCTTGGTAGGCTTGGTAGTCCTCCGGCAGGTCCCCTAGTGCCCCTAGCCTGTGGGCAGCCAGGAAAGCTTCATCTGGACCATGCGGCTCCTGCCTCCATGGACGACAGTCTGCCCATGGGTGGGACATTGGGAGTCCTCCCCTTGGGGCCTGCTCCATACGATATCCTTGGGACCCGCCTGTGACTCCTTGAGCGTGCATAGCCCCTATTTGATTGGCATCCGCTCTACCCTCCGAACCTCCCATATCGCCTGTTCTGGTTTGTGTGCCTTGCGTTTGTGGGTCCCTCTGATTAAATCCCCCTACGGGACAGGCCACGTCGTGACCGCTGACCGGACCTCCCCTTCCCCTCACTTCGTTTGCCAATCTCGCTTGTTCTTCCTGATATTGCCGAAACCGCTCCTTGTGTCCACCCTGGCGCTCACCCGGAAGCCTCCCTCGTTGGATCGTCTCCCTCCTGCGGCACGGGCAGCGGTCTTCTGTGTGGTAATACCACCTGCAGACCCTGCACCAATCTGTGTACGGTGTGGCGATGTCCACCTTCCATCTCTCCCCCCTTGGAGATTCTATCTCCACGTGGTCCTCGACTCTGAAGCGCGCTTCCGGGCCCATGTCAAATTTGACGTTCATGAGTTTTGGCCTGGTTCTGTCGAATTCTGGCGGGTGCGTGCTTAATACTTTGCCGAACATTGCTTCCACCACATCTTTCAGATACAGATACGCATCCAATTGCACTCGAAGTGCCATCACCCAGAAATTCGATTCCGCTTCGTGTATTTTCAGCTCCTTCAACTCTTGGCGAGTCATCCATGGCTTAAAGGCCACCTGAAATTCCTCTTCTCCCAACTTAATCTTCGCCACCCGCTCCCTTATCAACCACCGTGTCACTTCCCGTGCGTTTGCCACATACGATTTGACGTTTGCACCCTCGAAAACTATTCTACCTCGTTTAACATTCGGGTTGAATAATCTCCGCGTCATCCTGTCGTCCTCAAAGGCTCGAATAAGATCCTCCTTTAGCGATTTTGCACCTTCCTGAAAGATGATAATTGTCGTCCTTTCCTTGAGCCATTGTTCCTTAATCGCATCCACTTCTCTATTTACCACGAAGCGCCTTCCTCCTTCGTCCTCCACAACGTCGCCTAGATTCCCCCCCTCTGGACTCACCCCTTCATCGTAGCACTTCTCTACAGCTTCTCTTAGTTGCACATCCCTTCTCCCTTCTCTCCCATTATTGGAACCCTCTCGAGCTTCCCTATGTGGCGGAATGTATGGTCGTTGCTGTGTTGACCTTCCAACTTTCGTGTGCCCCTGCATGGTTTCTCTGCCCGCACGACGTCTGGCTATGACCTACCCTATCGAACGCCTTGGGACTACCCCTGTGGGCTGACGCTACATGAGGATACCCCCCACCCCGGCACGGGGCGTGCGTCGTCCACTCCGTGCTCCGTCGCGATGGCAGCGTTGACGGTAGGGCAGCGCCGTGTGCTTACGCCCACGGCGACCGCGGGACCGGAGCGCTAACGCTACTCGCTCGGAACCGCCGCTCCCCCCACTTTTCCTCCTTCTCAACTGTCTGGCGAGGTTTTGGTGTTTGCATAACATCTGCCGGACTTTTTGCTTATTGAAAAGGGAAAATTGTCAAAATGCCCATGACAGTAGGCATATTCTTCAGGTACCCCTAAAACACAGGCGTATCATGAAATGCCCTTGAAACTTTGTGAATTCGTGAAATGGCCCTGGAGGGGTTCTCTATTTGTGTGGTACGCCCATTTTAGGACTTATCTGGCGAATTTTGTGTGCTAGATTCGTCCCAAAATAGGTGTAGCTCTTGCAAATGAAGAGGTTTGCACCATTACCCCTGCTCTCTCTCTCTCTCTCTCTCTCTCTCTCTCTCTCTCTCTCTCTCTCTCTCTCTCTCTCTCTCTCTCTCT